TACCCCGTTCACTGCCCTCCTCTCCCCTTCCCACTCCCAAAGGAGATGCCGTAGCAGAGGGCAGCTGCTGTCTCCGCTCCCTCGCCCTTTCGCTCCGGCTCCATCTCCCACTCTCTCCTCTGCCTCTCCTATCCCGGGCTGGGCTGCAGGACGGGCAGAGCCCCGCGGGCAGCAGCCGAAGCCCTGCCCGCCCACAGGCGCCCAGCACTCGCAGCCCGGGCCAGCCCCCGAGCGGCCCCGGGGCGGAGCTGGCGGCGCCGGGCGGCGGCGGCGGGGAGGAGGCGCCGCGGGCGGAGCAGAGCCGGGGCTGGCGGGGGCGGCGCGGCGGCGGAGCGGCGGGATGCGGCAGGGCCGGGCCGCAGGGCTGGCGGCGCTGGCCGCGGTGCTCCTGGGTGCGCGGGGCTGCCGGCGCCGGGGACGGGACGGGACGGGACGGGACGGACGGGACGGGACGGGGCTGCCCTCGCTTCTGGCCCGCCGGCTTCTTACGGACCTCGCTCCCCTCTGGCCTCCCTCTGCAGCCATCCCGCCTGCCTCCAGCGAGCTCAGCCGGCCGTTGCCTCCCACCTTGCCTTGCTCCCTGCCTTCCTCCTCTCCTTTCGGCACACCCCCACTCATTGCTGCCTGCTTCCCTTCTCCTCCTGGCTCGGACTCTCCTCCCAAACAGCCCTGCTCCGACTTGGTCCCCTAATAACCATTCCCAGTGAAATGCCTTTGTGTGCTTTCTTCTGAGAAAAAGCTCGCATCGGCTATCAACCGTTTTCTTCTCCCCTCTCCCCTGCGTGATATTTTCGGTGCAGGAAAGACATTTTCTGAGTTTTCTCCTGCTTTCTTTCTCGGCAGTGGCTGTGTGCAGAGCCCAGGTGCAGCAGGACCAGGCACAGACCACCGAGGGCACCGGCATCAACATCACCTGCTCACACCCCAACATGCAGACTGGTGACTCCATCTACTGGTACCGCCATCCCGGGCCAAGGACCTACATTCCTAGTGTTCGGTACTAAAGGCTCCAATGCACTGAGGGACCTGCCGGGGTGGCTCGTGGTGGCAGCAGACCGCCGGTCCAGCGCCCTGTGGCTCACCGAGCCCCGCTTCGGGACGCGGCGGTGTATTACTGCGCCCTGAGAGCCACGGGGAGAGGAGCCGGGGCTGCGGCCGTGCAGGAACCGTGGCGGGCGGGGCCGGGCGTGTGTGGCGGGGGCGAGGCAGGGGCACAGCCCCCAGGGGGCGCTGCCGCTCCGCCCGCCAGGACCACCTCGTCCCGCAGCCGCGGGGGTTCCCCCGCCAGCCCGGCCCCTCCAAGGCACTTTGGTTCTGCTGAAAGGGTCTGGAGTCTGGGTGCAGCTGAACGGAGATGGCAGCAGCCTGCCAGAGACACAAGCCACAGCCGGAGCCACGTGGGCGTCCTGGCGTTGCTTGGAAGTCCCCTTGCAGGTTGGATGGCAGAGGGAGGCCAATGGGGACACTTGCCCCTTGCTGGGGCTGCCCACCTGCCAGAAGGGGCCAGAAGAGGGAAGCAGACAGGGGCGATGTCGTTGCCCTTTTGCCTTACCGCTGACCAGGTGAAATGTCCTAGCCTTCACAGGCCTGCAGTTTTGAGCTAACTGCACAAGTGTGACGCTCACGGTGCTTGAACACTTCTGGCTGGCCATGGGGATCCTAGGCAAAAGCAAAGATTGGCTGGATTCCTTTCTGACTGCTTTAACCACTAGTCTTGAGACTAGGGGGAGAGTTTTGCTCCACCCTCTGTGCTGAGGTTTAGAGGCTGCTTTGAGCTGGCAGAGGGGGAAGTGAACTTGCAAGCTTGAGCTCCCTCTTTCCAGGCACTACGTGGGCACCCTATGAAGGCGAGAGCGTGACATGGTCCTGCTTTTCCTGGCAGCCTTATTGGCACTGTCAGACTTTGGTGAGATGTGACATTGAGGAGGGCAAGCTAGGGGCCAGATGGCATCCCAACATTTCTGGAGGGGGGAAATTGGAGTCCTGCCTCCCTGGAAGAACTGGAAGTGTTTTCTGCAGGGAGAGCAGGGGCTGCAGACCAGTACGGGAGACAGTCTGGCAGATGTCAGGAGCAACGAGTGTACAGGGATGAATAAGCATCTGCACTTTTCCTTCTGCACATCCTCAGAGAGGAAGGGTCCCATGTTGGGCCAGGGTCTCCCTGTACAGGGGAGTGATTTTTACTCTTAGGATACTACACAGTGAGTTCATATTAGAATACGTCTAATCTTTGTATTTAGCTGTCTATTCAAATTGCATTGCTAGGTGATATATTCAAAAGTCAAATGGAGCCAAACTCTCAAAGAAAAAGGGAATAGCATAGGCTTTTTTTTTTTTTTTTTTCCTGAAGCTGGGAACCCTGATTTATGGAGCTGTACTGGGACTGCCTGGGACAGAATTAACATTCTCCACAGTAGTCTCTAGAGTGCTGTGCTCTGCACTTGGAGCTAGAACTCCAGTGTTGGCAGAACATCAAGATTCTTTCTCCAACACCTCCAAAGCCAGGAAGTGGAGGGTGGGAAAGAGGCAGGAGGGGACATCACCAGGGCAACTGACCCATACCATCCAAAGGGATATTCCATACCATGTGATGTCACACTCAGCAATAAAAGGTGGGAAAGGGGAAGGAAAGCGGGGAGCTCTTATTATGAAGACATCTGTCCTCCCAAACAATCGCTATGAGTATTGAGGCCCTGTTGCCAGGAGACGGCCAAACCTCACTTTTTGAGGGGAAGTAGAGGATAATTTTCTTTTCTCTCTGTGCTTCCATGCAGCCTTTGCTTATTTTCTTCTCTTACTTTTGCTTTATACCAAATTTCTTTCTTTTTCGCTTCTTCTTCTTCTGAGGGTGAGTGAGGGAGTGGTTGTGGTGGAGCTCACAAAAGGAACATAAGACAGACCACTTGCTGCAGATCCCGTTCCTGCTGAGATTCACTGGCATTGTTATCTTTGGAGATTTTCTGGGATTTTTTGTGATTCTTCTTAGAAATGGAAAACTATTCATCAAACAACACATTGCTTCACTCCTACAGACTTGCCACATGCTCACTGCCATGTGCAGTGAGCACTTCTGGGGACCAGATCTGCGGAAGAGGTGTGGGGAGAAGGTCTGGAGAGCTGATCTGGGAACCTGGTCTAGGAATCAGTCCTGGGCACTAACTCTGAGGAGCAGCCCTGGGCACCCACTCTGATGACCGGGTCAGGAGACCAGCTCTCAGGAGTACAGGTCTGGGGACCAGATTCGGGAACCATGTCTGGGCACCAGGAGTGGGGACTGTGTCTGTGAACTAGCTCTGGAGACCAGATCTTGGGGGTAGAACTGGAGACCAGGTGTGAAGAGCAGGTCTGGATACCAGGTTTGTGAGAACAGAACTGAAGAACAGATCTGGGGAGCAGGTCTGCAGACCACTTCTGGGAAACAACTCTGGGGACCACCTCTGGGAAACCAGTCTGGGGAGCAGTTCTCAAGACCAGATAGGTGGAACAGGTGTGCAGAGCAGGTCATATGAGCAGGTCTGTGGAGCCAGCTCTGGGGAGCAGCTCTAGCGAGCATGTCTAGGGACCAGATCTGTGGAACAGGTGTGAGGAGAAGGTGTAGGGAGCAGGTCCTGGTGGAGCACGTCTTGGGACCAGGTCTGCCAGCTGCAGCAGGCCTCCAGGAGCTGCAGCGCAACCTCACTGGCGAGCTGCTGTGGTCTCCCGGGTGTGGCAGCGGAACCCTGCCAATGACCTGCGTCGGACTGAGGGCGTGGCAGCGGACCCCCGCTAATGATCAGCAGTGGTTTCCCAAGTGCCACAGCAGACTCACACCGAAGAGCCATGCCTGGCTCTCCAGGAGCTACGGTGGACCCTTGCCGGCAAGCTGCTGGAATCTCCCAAGTGCGGTGGTGGACCCCCACCAGCCAGCCATGGCTGGCCTCCGGAAACCACAGTGCCCCTCACTGGCAAGCTGTTGCAATCTACTGGGCTATATGGGGCCAAGAGCTGTGATCCAGATCTAAGGATCACGTCTGGGCAGCAGGTCTGTGGGAGCAGATCTGCAGACCAGGTGTTCATGCCTGGGTCATGGGAACCCGATCTGGGAACTCTGTACTGGGAAGAGCTCTGTGGGATCCAGCTCTAGGGAGCAGGTGTGGGGAGCAGATCTGGGTACAAGGTATGAAGAACAGATATGGGGACAAGATCTTGGGCTCAGGATGTGGACAGCACAGCTCTGTACAGCACAGCAGAGCTCTGTGCCTACTCAGGTGAGCTGCCATGCAGATCCCAAACTTCTCCACAAAAAATCTCCATCTGTTTCAGGAAAACACAGGCAGTGAAGAGGATTCACTGCTTCATGCGGTAAATATTTTTGGAGAGGGGGAGAACGTTCACGCTGCCTGGGGGGTATAAAAGGAACAGTTGGGGGCTGCAGGACTTGGAGTGTCATTCCTTTGTGTGTCTGAGAATTCTACATTTGAGGTGTACTGAGGGAGGTATGGGGGAAGACAATGCAACTAGCCAGGTGCAGCCAAGCCAGACAAGGTGTTAGGGGTGGTGATAGAGGGAGCCCAAGCATCAGGGAAGCAGAAACCGCTGGGGATGTGGCCCTGGGTGGGTGCCCCCTGTGGCCCATCATTGTAAATGCATGTGACCCACTGAACCCACATCCTTTTCCCTGCTGACTCCTCACCCCTTGCCCTATGGAACAGGTTGTCCTTGTCCCCTCTGGGCTTGTGCCACCCAACACCCCAATGGAGCCCCGTTCCTCTTGCAAATGCTAGGTTATCCCACCAGAACAGGACACAGCCAGAAACCCTGGGCTGCTGCATAGCATGATTCCTCCCTTCTTTCTGGGGATGTGAAAGAGAAATCAAAGTGTCTTGTCCTCCCACAGGAAACAGGAACATCCCCATGGAGCTGAGGACCCCAGGTGAAGGTGCACAAGCTCAGTGGAGAAGACAGCCCTGACATCAGCCATGGCCAAGCAGTGTGTGTGAAGAAGAGAAGGCAGATGTAGCTGGGGAGGTGAGGACCCCACTGGGAGAGGAGACAAGAGCAGCCCCTGCACATGATGCTGCTCCCAGAGTTCCCAGGATCCCTGACTGTGACAACCGTCAGAGGTTGCTCCTGCTGGAGGAGGGAGAAACCCCAGGGAGCATTTGGGGCACAGTCAGAACAGAAAATTTATCTTTGCTGAATCTCCTCCTGTTCCCCCAGCAGGGTCATTTCCTGAGCTCTGTTCTCTTGGGGCTGGGAGGTGCTTTTCTGACTCTCTCTCCCACAGCAAACAAGAGGGTCGGTCTCAGCATGCACCGTGGGTATCTCATCCTCACTGCCTTCCTGGGGCAACTGCTGGGTAAGTGCTGGCTTTTAATCAAGGTATAAATCTGCTTTCCCCAGGAAGCCTTACCACGTTTATGTGGGGAACAGCTTTTGAATCACAGGGAAAATGTTGGTAAATGTTGTCTCCTGTTTCTGGTTCTTGGCCGGTTTCTATCATGATACTGTTATTCTTCGAAATTTGGAATGAGGAGATGGAGAAGAGACCTCTCCTGCTTCTCTCGTCCTTTCAGTCCATGTCTTTTCTGCCTCTCTCTTCTGGTCCACCTACTGTCACGAGAGAAGGTTTCATCAGTCTCTGCAGTCCCTCATTTCTCCCTTTCCTATAGAAAAAAACAGATTGTGTCCAAGTCAATACAGGACATGAAAGCTCTCCTCCCATGGACATTACCAGGGTGTCCAGTCTGTCTTCTGTCTGATTTGTTCCTCCAAAGTCCTCTTCCTTGTGTGCACAGGCTGGGCTCACTCCTGGGAAACTTATCTCCCACATGTCTGAATTCACTCCTGTTTGGCTGCCTGGAGACTTTTCTACAGAGCTGCTGACCTCTTTCTTCCAGAAACCATGGGGCAGGTGTCCGTTACCCAGCAAGAAGGACAAGTCTCCGTGGAGCAGGGAAACACCTTCCAGACAAATTGCACATATGAAACCTCCTCCTTTAATGGCTTGTTCTGGTACAAGCAAAAGAAGGGACAAGCCCCTCAGCTGATTACACATCAAGCAGTAGCAGGCACCAAGCAGAAGGACCGTTTCACCACGGAGCTGAACACTAAGGGGAAATCCAGTGTTCTGCATCTGAAGGAAGTCGAGCTCTCTGACAGCGCCTTGTACCTCTGTGCTGTGCGTGACACCCTGGTGCACAGAGCTGCCCTGGCTGAGCAACAACTCTGGATGTGGAGGGGATGTGTCTGTGCAAGGCAGAGCTCTGGGATGGGGCACTCAACTCTCCCCTGGCTGTGCTGTTTCCCCTGTTCACTCCGGGATCTACCAGCCCAATCCTCTTTCCCAAACAGCCTGATGTCTTTGGCTGTGCAGAGAGGGCTGACCTTGACTGGTTGACATGGGCCACAGTGCTCTACTTTCCTCCCTTTTTGGGCTGCCAGACTAGGGCAGAGCCTGCTGGGAAACAGAACTCCCCTGGGGGCTTGCCCTCAGCCCCTCATCCCCAGGGTGAGTAAATTCCTTCAAGCCCATGATAAAGCTGCTTGCTTTGAGCCCTGGCTAGCCCAGGCCAGAGACCCCTAGATGTAGTTCTGACAGAGATTTTCGGGGTACTTCCCTCTCTTCAATGAGTCAGTCAATAGCAATGGATTTGCATCCCAGCCACCAGGTTATCTGCAGCCCTCCAGCCAGTCCATGTCCAAAGCCTGTGCCTGAGGGACAGGAAAAATAGAGCAGCCCCTAGTGCCAAAGGCCATGCTCTCCATGTTCTTCACAGTAAGCAATCAGAGCAAGAGATAAATGAAGACTTACAACCCACTGAGTTCGTTGATGTCTCCTCAGGGGAGCTGGAGGCATGTATGATCATCCTCAGTCCCTGCACAGGAAGCAGTGTCATAGTGACCAGCTCCTGCAGCAGTGTGGGATTGCGTGTCTGGGACAACCTGGTGCGTGTCTGGGACAAGCCAGGCATCCTGCAGGCTGCAAATGCCAAGGCCAGACAGGAGAATCGAGGCTGTGCTGATGAACCTTCCTCTGTCTCAAAACCATGTTGAATATGGTGTTTTGATGTCCCCAGGCTTCAGGAAGCTCTTCTGTCTGTTTGCAAGAGCAAGAAGCAACACAACCTGGAGAAAGAAAAGCTTGGCCCAGGCAGCTCCCAGCAGGGGACAGCCATGGGCCCTCTTTTCTCTGTGCTCTCAGGGAAGGCAGCACCAGCCTCTGCCTTGTCTCAGAAAGGGTCTGATCTACCCCCGGGATCACTGCCCCAAGGATTCTCTGGAGACATTGAACACCTCTGCAGGAACAATGCTTTCCCTCTGGTTCTTGCCTGGGAACATGTCTGGGGCTGAACAAACAGCTGTTAAATACCAGTTTGAGAATCCGAATGAGAAAAAAAATGGAAGACGCTTTTTGTTGATGTTTTCTGCTGCTCATATTGCAGCACGAAAGCTCAGGAATAGGAAAGATGAATCAAAAATTTCACTTGTTCTCCAGACGGATTTTGTCGTTTCCAAGACAAAGGTGAATCTCCAAATTGTGAATATGCTCCTTCATCTCAGACTTCAGTGTTAGCCAGGAGATAGTTCTGGCTCAGGAGCACCTATTGATTATTGCTCTAACCCAGGCAATAGATGTGTTATGCGTAGAATGTCTCAGTCCCAGCGTGAGAGCTGCGCAGGGGCTAATACTGTTATAAGTTGCCCCCTTAATTAATTTTCAGATAGCATTGCATTAATAATAGAAAGGAATTTATTGAGTAAGCAACAGCAAGCAAAACAGCTCTGGGTGGCCGGGGAGTCTCAGCTCCATCAATGGCGCGCACCTCACCCCCACCAGGGTCCCTTTTTATATCTTGGTAATTCTGGGATTACGCAGCACGTCCTGGTATATTCTGCGACTATTCTGGTATATTCTGAACGGAGTTGGACCAGCCTGGCAGAGGTGTGTGCAGGGAAGAGGCACTGAAACACAGCCCCTTTCTCCTGAGCCCTCCTTTTCCTCACACTGCAACAATCACCCTTTGTTCCTGCAGAATTCAGGCCCCAACAAGGACCGAATCAGGACAGTTTGGATCCTTGGTTTAATTCAGGGTAACAATGTTTGGAGTGCCTCAGCGTGGCTGTCCATCGATGACCTTGGGATGTATAGGAGAAGCAGACTGCTGTAAGGCTCCTGAGAGTGCCTGTCAGTCAGAGATTTCCGCCCCTGGACACTGCCAGGTTCATCTGGGAGTCAATGCCAGTGCCAGGCCCATCTCCTCACACCTGTCTATAAAGGCCTGCCAGCATTGTCTCAGAAATGCATCGCAGAGGGGACAGATTCCCATGGCTGGTTCTGCCTGGACTGGCTGGTTCGCCTGACGGTTAAGGCGAACTCCTCCATGTGTAGAATATCACAGCAAAGGGATCACACAATAGCAAGAGTAATTTCTGTGTCCCCCCCCACTCCCCCTTGTGCCAAATGAATTCTCAGCATTTGGAGTCTTCAGTATGGCTGACTGTCTGGCACAGTGTTCATAGCTCCTGAGAGCCCTTCCCGGAGGCCTGAGCCTGCAGCTTTGGCGTGGAGGGCACCTTCTGCCTGAGTAGCAGCTGGCAGTGCCAGACATCCAGTCCTGCTGAATGCTCTCATTAGGGCCACAAGCAGTCCGAAGGAGGGCACCCTCGTTTGTGCATGGTCCCCAGCCAGGGCACACAGGTGGTGACTGTGTAGGTCACAAATGTGCTGTGGAGAATACAGGCTGGCTGGAGAAAGGGGCTGACCAGAACCTCATTTTGGTGCAAAGGAGCAAAGAAAAGGATTTTCCTCTTGGGCAGGAAGAGCCCCCAGAGTAATTCAGGATGGGGGCTGGCTGCCAAGGAAGCAGACCCTCAGGAAAGGCTTTTGGGTGCAGGAGGCACCCAGCCACACACGAGCCAGCAGCGCGCCCTTGCAGCAAAGGCAGCCAACGGCCTGTGCAGCTGGAGGCATCAGGGGGTGCCCCGCAGGGCGTGGGGCCGGGCAGGTGGGGCGTGGGCGAGGCGGGGGCACAGCCACAGTCGGGCCGCGTGGGGTCGCTGCCGGTGCTTGGAAGTCCCCTTGCAGGGCCTGGAGTTAAACAGCACGGGCCCGAGCGAGCATCAGAACAGCCACATTGGGTTTCCTCCGTTTTCTGCAGTGGTCTTTTTTCCAAGAGCTTGTTGTACTGGTTTCTTCCTAAGCCCAAATCCAGGACCTCTGGCGCTGAGATGATGTCCTGGCAATACAACAAATATCTGTGCTGGTCACTCACTCTAATGACACGTGTTGGAACCTTGGATCTTGCCAAAGGACTGAGTCACTGAGGGGTTTGCTGCACTAGCCCGCGCTGCTGAAGGTCTGCCCTTGGTGCAGGATTCACTCCTGTGTGTGTGTGCAGAGCTGCTGACTGCTGAGCAGAGGGCTGTGGTGGGGCGTCCTTCCCTGCCAGATAGTGTGTGGCTCTCCCAGGGGATTGGGTGGAAGAGGGGTGGGGGAAGCAATCCCATCTTCATTGACAGCAGAGGTGGGTGCAGGTCTCTGTGTCTGGCCGGGTTCTGGATGGGAGGGGGAGGCCACTGGGGACACTTGCCCCTTGCTGGGGCTGCCCACCTGCTGGAAGGGGCAAAAAGAGGGAAGCACACAGTGGCCATGTTGGTGCCCTTTTGCCTTACAGCTGACCAAGTGAAATGTCCTAGGCTTCACAGGCTTTCAGCTGTGAGCTAACTACACAAGTGTGACGCTCCCTGTGCTGGAACACTTCTGGCTGGCCATGGGGATCCTAGGGCACGGCAAAGATTGGCTGGATTCCTTTCTGACTGCTTTAGCCACTAGTCCATCCCTCTCTTGAGAGCCTTGCTAGGGCAGAGGTGAGCCCCAAGGAGCAGCAGGGGGAGAGCTTTGCTCCACCCTCTGTGCTGAGGTTTAGAGGCTGCTTTGAGCTGGCAGAAGGGGAAGTGAACTTGCAAGCTTGAGCTCCCTCTTTCCAGGCACTACGTGGGCACCCTGTGAAGGCGAGAGCGTGACATGGTCCTGCTTTTCCTGGCAGCCCTGTTGGCACTGTCAGACTTTGGTGAGATGTGACTTTGAGGCAGGGCAAGCTAGGGTCAAGATGGCATCCCATCATTTCTGGAGGGGGGAAATTGGACTCCTTCCTCCTGGAAGAACTAGAAGTGTTTTCTGTAGGGAGAGCAGGGGCTGCAGACCAGTACGGGAGACAGTCTGGGAGACGTCAGGAGCAACGAGTGTACAGGGATGAATAAGCTTCTACACTTTTCCTTTGCAGATGCCTAGCATTCATACATGCATTGTTCACAGGTACATAAGGACTCAAATCCTGGTGAGATACTCCTAAAAAGTAGGTAAGCTGACAGACTTGGTTATGGGAATTGAATAACACCTGCAGAAAGAAGAGTGCATGTGTACTTAGCTCAGCATTCTATAGCCCATGAAAAGGGAGATGGAGAGTGGGGACAGTGAACAAGTTGGTGAGCTGATAGACACAGGAGAGAGAGGGGGAGAACAGATACATCTTCAAGCAGTGCTGAGATGCTGTTCTGGCTTTGCAGGTCATGCACAGAAGGACTCTGTGGTGCAGTTTGCACAAGAAACTGCCATCCAGGTGGGACACAACGCTACTCTGCACTGCAATTTCTCCACCAGCTACTCTGCTCCCTATATCTTCTGGTACCAGCAGCGCCTGACCCAGTCCCCTCAGTTCTTGCTGCAGGTGAGCAAGTTCAAGCCTCATGTGCATTCTGAGAGGATCTCCTCCGTGCTCTCCATGGAGAACTCCCAGGTGCTTCTCCACGTGCAAGATGCCAAGCTCCAGGACAGCGCTGTCTACCTGTGTGCACTGAGCCCACACTGGTGCCCTCAGCTTGCAGCTTTATACAGGAAGGTGCGGGTGCTGTGAGGTGCAGTTCCGTCTCATCACAGTTTGCATAGCCCTCTGAGCTGAGCCTGCCCAGCAAGGACACCTGGGGCTTGTGGTGAGCCAGCAGCCCCTGCTCCTGATGCCTGGCAGTGTGGTTAGCATAACCAACAGAAAGGCAAATATTCATCATGTGGAAGGGGCTGTTAATGTGCACCCCTGCCTCCTTGTCTCTCCCTCTCACTGGCCCCAGCATGCTGAGATACCCACCATTGTGGCGAGAAAGGGCATTGGTGTTATCAAGCTAGTAATCAAACTAGCAATTTATTTGTAGTAAGCTTTAGGATTTTGTAGTAATTTTTAGTATTTCTAGTAATTTATTATGTAATAATACATCCCTAATTACAACCACAACCTGTGGCCAGTCCTCATTCCGCCAAGGATCCGTAGAGAACCTGCCAGTGCTCTGTAGTGTTGGGAGACAGAGCTGGGTGTAGTCAGCAGGAGCCTTGTGTTAGAATAATGAATGGTTCCCTTGAGAAATGGGCCCCACTGTGAAAGGGTTTTCTTGGAAATGGAAGGCAAGGTGCAAAGCAGCAATGGCTAAGCTCAATACACCACAATCCAAATCCCTCAAGGAATGAATTTAATAAATGGAAAGATGCATGTACAGTAAGGAAAGCGAAAAGGAAGGAAGGAGAGTTAGCTGGCTGTTAGCTGCAATGTGGAAAATTGAGAAGGAGTGGGCTGGAAGGCGATCAGGCCCAGTCAGCATGAGTTTATGAAAGGCAGGTCCTGCTTGACGAACCTGATCTCCTTCTATGACACTCTGTGACGCTCTGGGTGGATGAGGGAAAGGCTGTGGATGTGGTCTACCTTGACTTCAGCAAGGCTTTTGACACCGTTTCCCACAGCATTCTCCTCAAGAAACTGGCTGCTCATGGCTTGGACTGGCGCATGCTTCATTGGGTTAGAAACTGGCTGAATAGTCAGGCCCAAAGAGTTGTCCCTGATTTATGGAGCTGTACTGGGACTGTCTGGGACAGAAATAACATTCCCCACAGTAGCCCCTAGGGTGCTGTGCTCTGCACTTAGAGCTAGAACTCCACTGCCATCGCAACAATGTTTGGGCAATTATGGACCAGCGCTGGCACAACATCAAGATTCTTTCTCCAACACCTCCAAAGCCAGGAAGTGGAGGGTTGGCAAAAGAAGGGAGGGGACATCACCATGGCAGCTGACCCATACCATCCAAAGGGATATTCCATTCCATGTGATGTCACACTCAGCAATAAAAGGCGGCAAAGGGGAAGGAAAGTAGGGAGCTCTCATTATGAAGACATCTGTCCTCCCAAACAATCGCTACGAGTATTGAGGCCCTGCTTGCCAGGAGATGGCCAAACATCACTTTTTGAGGGGAAGTAGAGAATAATTTTCTTTTCTCTCTGTGCTTCTGTGCAGCCCTTGCTTATTTCTCTCTCTTACTTTTCCCTTATATTAATTTTTTTTCTTCTCACCCTCTTCTGATGAGGGGGAGTAAGAGAGTGGTTGTGGTGGAGCTCACCAAGGAACATAAGACAGACCACTTGTCAGGGCAAGGCACATGCTGCAGATCCTGCTCCTGCTGAGATTCACTGGCATTGTTATCTTTGGAGATTTTCTGGGATTTTGTGTAATTCTTCTTTGAAATGGAGAGCTCTATTCATCGAACAACAACACGTTGCTTCACTCCTACAGACTTGCCACATGCACACTACCACGTGCCAAAGGATGTGGACAGCACAGCTCTGTACAGCACAGCAGAGCTCTGTGCCTACTCAGGTGCAGCTGCCATGCAGATCCCAAACTTCTCCATGAACAATCTCCTTCTGTTTCGGGACACCACAGGCAGTGAAGAGGATTCACTGCTTCATGCGGTAAATATTTTTGGAGAAAGGGAGAACGTTCACACTGCCTGGGGGCTATGAAAGGAGCAGTTGGGGGCTGCAGGGCTTGGAGTGTCATTCCTTTGGATGTCTGAGAAGTACACATCTGAGGCATTGACAAGGCAACTAGCCAGGCGCAGCCTAGCCAGACAAGGTGTTAGGGGTGGTGATAGAGGGAGCCCAAGCATCAGGGAAGCAGAAACTGCTGGGGATGTGGCCCTGGGTGAGTGCCCCCTGTGGCCCATCATTGTGAGTGCACGTGACCCACTGAACCCACATCCTTTTCCCTGCTGACTCCTCACCCCTTGCCCAATGGAACAGGTTGTCCTTGTCCCCTCTAGGCTCGTGCCATCCAACACCCCAGTGGAGCCCCGTTCCTCTTGCAAATGCTAGGTTATCCCACCAGAACAGGACACAGCCAGAAACCCTGGCTGCTGCGTAGCATGATTCCTCCCTTCTTTCTGGGGATGTGAAAGGCATCTACTCCTCACACAGGAAACAGGAACATTTCTATGGAGCAGAGGACCCCAAGGTAGAAAGAACAAGCTCAGTGGGGAAGACTGTCCTGACATCAGCCATGGCCAAACAGTGCCTGTGCAGAAGAGAGAAGAGAAGGCAGATGTAGCTGGGGAAGTGAGGACCCCACTGGGAGAGGAGACGAGAGCAGCCCCTGCACATGATGCGGCTCCCAGAGTTCCCAGGATCCCTGACTGTGACAATCCTCAGAGGTTGCTCCTGCTGGAGGAGGGAGAAACCCCAGGGAGCATTTGGGGCACAGTCAGAACAGAAAATTTATCTTTGCTGAATCTCCTCCTGTTCCCCCAGCAAAGTCATTTCCGGCAGCTCTGTTCTCTTGGGGCTGGGAGGTGCTTTTCTGACTCTCTCTCCCACAGCAAACAAGAGGGTCGGTCTCAGCATGCACCGTGGGTATCTCATCCTCACTGCCTTCCTGGGGCAACTGCTGGGTAAGTGCTGGCTTTTAATCAAGACATAAATCTTCTTTTCCCAGGAAGCCCTCGTCAGCCTTACCACATTTATGTGAAAAAGAGATTATGAATCACAGGGAAAATGTTGGTAAATGTTGTCTCCTGTTTCTGGTTCTTGGACTGGTTATCTCACATTGCTGTTATTCTTCGAAATTTGGAATGAGGAGATGGAGAAGAGACCTCTCCTGCTTCTCTTGTCCTTTCAGTCCATCCCTTTTCTGCGTCTCTCTTCTGGTCCACCTACTGTAACCAGAGAAGATTTCATCAGTCTCTGCCGTCCCTCATTTCTCCCTTTCCTATAGAAACAGCCAGATTGTGTCCAAGTGGATACAGGGACATGAAAGCTCTCCTCCCATGGACATTACCAGGGTGTCCAGTCTGTCTTCTGCCTGATGTGTGAGGCAGGAGGAGCAGGCACACAGCACAGCTCTCCTCAGGGTCCGCTCTGGCCAGGGAGCTCTGAGCTCTGCCCCCACACCACCTTGCTGTGCCCCAGCCCTGGGGACCTTTCAGCCCAGTAAAGGACAGGGGGCCTTATCTCCCACAGGTCTGAATTCACTCCTGTTTGGCTGTCTGGAGATTTCCCCACAGAACTGCTGAACTTCTCTTTCTTCCAGAAACCACGGGGCAGGTGTCCGTCATCCAGCAAGAAGGACAAGTCTCCGTGGAGCATGGAAACACCTTCCAGACCAATTGCACATATGAAACCTCCAACTTAATGGCTTGCTCTGGTACCAGCAGAAGAAGGGACAAGCCCCTCAACGGATTTCCTATCAAGCAGGAGCAGGCACCAAGCAGATTGACCGTCTCACCACGGAGCTGAACACTGAGAGGAAATCCAGTGTTCTGCGGCTGAAGGAAGTCGAGCTTTCTGACAGCGCCTTGTACTTCTGTGCTGTGAGTGACACCCTGGTGCAGGAAGGTGCCCTGGCTGTGCAACAACTCTGGATGTGGAGGGGACTTGTTCTCCAGAAGGATTCTGTCATTTCCAAGACAATTGTGAATCTCCAAATTGTGAATATGCTCCTCCATCTCAGACTTCAGTGTTAGCCAGGAGATAATTCTGGCTCAGAAGCACCTATTGATTATTGCTCTAACCCAGGCAATAGATGTGTTATGCGTAGAAAGTCTCGGTCCCAGCGTGAGAGCTGGGCCGGGGCTAATACCTGATAGGCCAGACTCCAGAGAGGCCTGGATGAAGGCTCCATCCAGTGATGGCCCTGCACCACCTAAGAGGCTGGCTAGGCCAGGCTGACAAGATTTGGCCAGCCCAGGCACAGGCACACAGGCAGCAGAGCTGGGGCAATGCCATGCTAGGCCTGAGCTTGAGCAGAGTCTTTGGACTAGGGGCCAAGAGTCCTTGTGAAAGTAAAGTACCCCCACACCACAGGGCCCCGAGGTGTGCTACTGTGGGAAGGCCCTCACCTGGGTGTGGAGAGCAGTGGGGCTACATGGAGCACAAGGACCACTTCATCCTCATGGCTCTGGGAATGCCAGAGGAGCTTGGTGCCTGGGAGAAGATCTCCCAGCGTGTGCCCTGTGGTTGGGCTGGTACATGCCTTGTGACATTCAGGGCCCATACACAGATCTTGCTGAGTGCACAATCAGGTCCCATTCTCACTGCTATGTCTCAGCAGAGACTCTGGGATCCCTGCCCCCACAGAATGTCTTTTCTGGAGCATGGTGCAATTGTGCAACCTATGGGGTCTCTGAGTTCCAGGGCCTGATGAAAGCTGATCCATGCTTGGGGAAAAGAAAGCAAGACTGAGCAGCCGTGAGTGTTTGGGCATTGGTCCCTGCCCTGGGCCTGCCTTTATGAAAAAGGAATTGAGTTCACAGGGCCTGGGGACTCCAGTGTGTGGCCTGATGGGACTGGTACCAGTACGAACCTGTGGATCTCCTCAGCCCTATGCATCTTGGCAACAGCTGGGCCATGCCAGACGCTGTGCTGTAGTGTAATGGGGATGCACAGGGAAGCTGTTCCTGCTCTTCATGCCCAGACATGATGCCCATGATTAGGTGGTGGAGGAAATGTGAAAGTCGATGAGGGACAGAGGGCCATCACCAAGACAATTACCCATTCCCAGTTTCTGCAGTCCTTTGGGATCATATTGGTCTCAGCCTCCACCCCCAGCACAGCTCCATCCAAAGCAAGACAAACACTCTTCCCCAAGAGCTCGGGCCTACAATGTCAACAGCGCTTGTCTAGGCGGAGATGCCACAAGTCACGGACTGGTGGCTATTGGCTGTGATGGAACTAGGGATGTCTTCCTCACCTTCAAGAGACAGTGCCTGAAAGAGGAATTGCTGCAGTATGCCCCACCCTCCAGTGCCTAGAGGAATGAGGCAGTGCCCCCAGCCTATTCCCACTAAGGAATGGTTTTCTCCCTTGGCCATCAGTATCCAGATGAAAAGACCACACAGGGACACACTCAGGGTTGCTGCAAATGTTTATCAAGGCTCAGGAGGGAAAGGAGGTGACTCCAAGAGGAGGCCCCGAGATCGTAGCAAGCAGGAGCAGACAAAAATCTGTTCAGCTTTTCCAATGGCAGACTTGCAACAGGGCATCAATCTACCTGGCCCACATGGGGAGAGGGTCTACCAGGTCTCTCCAGACTGGTTTCTGGGGGCCTCACACAAAGGAGAGGGCAAGAAAGCAAAGAAAGAAAAAGAGCGTGTAGAAAACAGGATAGGAAGACATTGGTCATGTTGTCATAGACTCCGGGCTGGCCCCTTCCTATCTGTCTTTACAGGACAAGCCAGAGATGGTCAGGTCCTCTTAGAACAACAACATGAGGTCTCTTCTTCCATCCATTTTGGCCAGCAGCATGTTGTGAGTTCCTGGGGTCCTGGTCTGGGGCACTGTCTGGCATCTTTAGCAGGGGCGGCACCTGCTGCCACAGTAGCGGCTGGTAATGCAGGAGAGGTCACAGCACCCAGAGTTGATGGGGACGCCGTCACAGCTGAGGATGCTGCCAACGGCAGCAGAGGTGGAGGATCCCACAGCCGTGTTCTGCGGGAAGGAGCTGAGGATGGGGCCGGGCAGGGTCACCACCACGGGAGAGGGCTGGATGACAATGGTGGAGTTCTGGCACTGCCTGACGCAGGGCTCGTTGCAGCTGCTGGCCAGCGGGGTCGGGCCACAGGGCTGGCATGGCCGGCACTGGTCGTAGCAGGACATGTCTGGGGGCAGGAGGTGCACCTGGGAGAGAGGGCAGATAGGAAGTTTAACATGGAAATGCATGAGGAGCAGCCAGTCACCCCACCCTAACAGATCCAAGGCACAGGCAGTACTGTGAGCTGGAGGCTGTGCAGGGATGTGCGAGGCATTCTTGGCTGCATCCTGACAGGGCCCAAAAAGAGCCACTGCAGCCGGGATACACCCTAGGCTCCAGCACAGGAGCCATCACACCAAAGGCCCAATCTTCCTCCATGACAAACCTTCTACCCCTTGACTCTCCCACAATCAGCAGTCCCAAGATTTGGCAGGGCACACAGCTGATAGCAGCTGAAAGGTCCAAGGAACTGAGTCCTCCTGTGGGAGAATGAGGGGGACAAGAAGGGGCTTCACACTCACCTGGTTCCCAACAAGAAGAAGGCCAGAGAAGTGGATGAGAGAGCACGGAGCTGGGCTGGCTTTTATAGTGGGCCTTAGCTGCCCCATGTCCAGAGGCATCCCTTGAAGCAGGGACTATTTTCTGACAAGCTACTCATGCATGAAAAACATCCCATCTAATGATACGGGATGTGTGTTGCCTTCCTGTGATGCTGCTTTTCATTTCCTGCTTTATGCCCTTTCCCCAAAGAAGGCAACTCCTGAGTGGCAGGCAGGGAGGCCCAAGTATTTCCAGGCAACACATGTCAGTGTGGGCAGAAGACTCAGCTCACGTGCTGGAAGAGTCCAGTAAAGGCAAATGTTGTCAGTCAGGGTGACTCCCTAGGGACTCTCTGGGGCCCTTTTGATTACAGGTGACCCAGCTCCTGCCTGTGACCCTAACCCTGCTGACACTGCCCTCAGGGAAAACCTGCTGGCCTGTTTTGCCTCCTCCTGCTCTGACCCAGGGGTGTCTGTAAAGGGGGAGAGGTTGTGCAGGGCCCTTTCTGGATCACAAAAGAAAGGCCCAACAGGTCAGTGGCTGTTTTAGTTAGAAGGAATAACAAGATGAATGTACACAGAAAGGAATGCTTTCATGTGCAGGTGATCCTGCCTTCTACCAGCATCGGACAGAGCCGGGTGGATTTTCCCAAGACACACACTGCAGATCCTGTCCATAGGGAATTCCTTCTTCACTCCCATAACTTGATGCCTTTCATTTTTTGCTTCAAAAAAAAAATGAATAAAATCATACACCATCTCCTTACATGACGCAAGCTTATTTCTGTCATGACACCCACCAGTGATCAGTCGGGGCACTCCAGCACTTTCCTTACCACTGCTACTCAGGCTAACAAATAGGATTCTCAGGCCTTAAGTGCAAGGCCCAAGAAAGCTGACATTGTCTTGTCAAGAGCCCTGGCTCCAGCGCCTTCTGCAAGGCTCCCAGTCCACCTCCCCTCTCTACCACGTCAAACCATGTGCTTTGCTCAAATGCTGTCCAGAATCTTTGCTGTACACTGTGTCATGTTCATGCACATGTTCCTCCCATGTGGGCACTGTCCTGTGTTGGGGCTATGTGGGACAGACTCAACATTCCCCACAGCAGCCCCTAGAGTGCTGTGCTCAGCACTTGGAGCTAGAACAGCATTGCCATCACACCAATATTGGGGCTATAGTGGAGCAGTGCTGACACAGCATCAAGACTCTCTCCAAGCCCCACAAAGCCGGGAGGTGGGGGGTGGGCATGAGGTTGGGAGGGGACATCACCAGGGCACCTGACCTAAACCAACCAAATGGATGTTCCGTACTGGATGATGTCACACTTAGCAGTAAAGATGTGAAAGGGGAAGGAAAAACAGGGGTGGGCATACTAAGTCAGTGCTTCCAAAGACTTCGACGAACATCACTTGCTGATGGGAAGTGGAGTATAATTTTCTCTCAGTTTGTTTCCAAACACCCTTCGCTCTTTAGTTTTATAATTTTTCTTTCTTTTTCACTTAATTATATTATACCTATCTCAACTTGTAAGTCCTTTAGCTTAAATCACATTCTCTCCCAACATCTTGCTTTCAGCAGGGGGTGTGAGAGAGCTGTGTGGTGGATGTTTACTTGGCAAGAAGAGAGGAAGAAGGAACCTGAGAACAGCTGAACAATCACAGAACAAAATAGCCCAGAAGTGCCCACAGCACATATGCTGAAATGCAGCCTTCTGTATCTGAAGCCCTCTTTCTCCTGACCCTAAGAAGTTCATTGCCAATGTCAGTCCCCAACAAGGATGGGCCCACAACAGTTTGGATCCTTTCTTTAATTCTGTACCACAGGATTCAGAGTGTAAGAGCATGGTGGCAGTCACCCCTCCCTGCCTCTCCAGGCCAGGACACAGCTGCACTCCCCATGGCTAGAGAGTTCAAAAGGATGGCATTAGCTTTATGCACAAGGAGAAAGGCTGAGAAATCCTGCCATCTTTGTGCAGGCCCAGCCCTGTGTGGATCTGCTGCCGGTGCAGTGTCAGTGGTGTGTGGGGTGGGACGGAGGTCCCCCATGGGGAAACCAATGCCACACATACATCTGTGACTCATGGGCCTGGTGCTGAGTCATGCAGGGTCTGAAACCTTGGGCAGAAATGGCATCGAACGAGAGGAACATGGGTCCTGGTGTTGCTGTGCTGTGGGAGGAAGGACAGACCCTGTGGGTGCAACACAGAAAGCCAAACAGACGTGTATCGTCTACGCCCACCTCACAGGGGGATTCAAAGGACACAGAGCTGAACTCTGGAGATGAAGCATACTTAGTCTGGGGCTAATGCGTGCAATTTCAGAAATTGGTAGGTTTGGTTATATGGATGAAATATACATGGAAGCGGCGCTCACCCTTCGTTTGCCCTGCTCTGGCCCTACACAATCACAGCTTCTTCTGGGACTTGCTGTCAGTCATGCAGCTGCCTTCTGCAGAGAGCTTCTGGACTGCTGTGCTCCTTAAATACAACAGCACCACCAGTTTTCCTGTGCTCCTTGAGCTCCTGCAGGGTGCTCCTGGTCTCCCTCTGAACGTAGACGTGTGAGGAGACACAAGACACTGTCTGCTCACTCTCACTTCCCTGCACTTGTATCATGCCGGGGGCTACGTTCCCTCCTCTATACCCACCCCATTGCAAACTTCTCCCACAACAAAGTGGTGTCCATCTTCTCCAGGGCTGTGATTCCCTCTGCCCCATGCACCAACCTACAGCGTAAAGACCGAGAAGGTGAAAGAAGCCATGCGAAACCTGAGAAACAGAGGGAGGTTGTTTCTTTGTTTCCTCTGCTGTGTTTGCTGTCTCTGCTTTCAGGGCCATGCCGTTTTCTCTACTCTCTTCTGACATGGAGGTCTTGGGGAAGCTGCCATCACTGCTTCCACAGCAGCCCTTATTTTCTTTCTTACCTTTCAGCTCCTCCCTCCTTGTTTCCTACCCTAGAAGCAGCCCTTCAGCACTTGGGAGGGGGGCCGAGAGAAAGAACTGCAGGAAGCTGGAAACAACACACACGGATACAAACCTGACTGATAGATGATGAGGGAGGAAGAGAGGAGATCAAATGTGGGCAGTCACAACACCAGTTGGTGGCCTATCAAGAAGCCACAGGGAGATCAGCTTGGGCCTTGCACCTCCTACAGCTGTGGGCTAGGACACACGCTGGGGTGGGTGCAGGACAGACCTATACAACCCCATGAGGGGACGTGCAGGGAAATGGGAGCCGGGAGGAGTACACTAGGGCAGACAGAGCAGGGTGTAAAAGGGGCTGCAGCCTGTACTTGCATGGCTGGGCCCTGCACATGAGCACCGCTGTCTGTCCTGTCCTCTTCTGGAATATTTCCTTACGTCTCCATAATCTCGCTCTGTCCCATGAACACATGTGCTGCAAGGAGAACGTAGCAATTCCTCATGGAGTGGCAGAAGTGGATTTGATGCTAGCTGCTGGAGTCAGACTCAGCACAAGGACATCCCTGCCCTGTGCTGTCAGCTGCTGGAGCCAGGGGTCCCCGTGCAGCTCCTGGAGCAGGGAAAGGGGGTCTCAGCCTCCAGGAAAATGTGGCAAGTCCATTTGGGGTCTCCAAAAGCAGCTACTGGGGGTACTGGCCTGCGTCTATCTTCCCCAAATGGGCATGCTTGTCCCTGCCTGTGTGTCTCCTGGGTACGTGCTCAGCTACTATTGCCGTGAAGCCTGTAAATGGGAAAGTGGCAACTGTGCCCCTCAATCTGGGCAGAGACGCTCGACCGACGATGACAGCTCAATGGGCAGTGCCAGACAGCAGGGCCCCGTACGGTTTGGGGTGCTGTCGGGGCACTGTGTCCCCGGACCCGTTCCTGCTGCTGGCTTTCCACACCTGCAGCAGTGCCGGCCACAGCTGTGATACCAGCGCACCACAGCACAAAGCTCCCAGGCCCAGCCCAGCCTGACCCGTTGCCCTCCACTGGGGACGCTTCAGGCAGGCAGCTGCTTTCTCCTCTCCCCCTTCTCTCCTCTCTCCCTACTCATCTCCTACCCCATTCACTGCCCTCCTCTCCCCTTCCCACTCCCAAAGGAGATGCCGTAGCAGACGGGCAGCTGCTGTCTCCGCTCCCTCGCCCTTTCGCTCCGGCTCCATCTCCCACTCTCTCTCCCTCTGCCTCTCCTATCCCGGGCTGGGCTGCAGGACGGGCAGAGCCCCGCGGGCAGCAGCCGAAGCCCTGCCCGCCCACAGGCGCCCAGCACTCGCAGCCCGGGCCAGCCCCCGAGCGGCCCCGGGGCGGAGCTGGCGGCGCCGGGCGGCGGCGGGGAGGAGGCGCCGCGGGCGGAGCAGAGCCGGGGCTGGCGGGGGCAGCGCGGCGCGGGCGGCGGAGCGGCGGGATGCGGCAGGGCCGGGCCGCAGGGCTGGCGGCGCTGGCCGCGGTGCTCCTGGGTGCGCGGGGCTGCCGGCGCCGGGGACGGGACGGGACGGGACGGGGCTGCCCTCGCTTCTGGCCCGCCGGCTTCTTACGGACCTCGCTCCCCTCTGGCCTCCCTCTGCAGCCATCCCGTCTGCCTCCAGCGAGCTCAGCCGGCCGTTGCCTCCCACCTTGCCTTGCTCCCTGCCTCCCTCCTCTCCTTTCGGCACACCCCCACTCATTGCTGCCTGCTTCCCTTCTCCTCCTGGCTCGGACTCTCCTCCCAAACAGCCCTGCTCCGACTTGGTCCCCTAATAACCATTCCCAGTGAAATTCCTTTGCATGCTTTCTTCTGAGAAAAAGCTCGCATCAGCTGTCAACTGTTTTCTTCTCCCCTCTCCCCCTGCGTGACATTTTCAGTGCAGGAAAGACGTTTTCTGAGTTTTCTCCTGCTTGCTTTCTCGGCAGTGGCTGTGTGCAGAGCCCAGGTGCAGCAGGAACCATGGGCAGAGACCAGGGAGGGCACCAGCATCAACATCACCTGCTCACACCCCAACATCCAGACTGGTGAAGTCATCCACTGGTACCGCCATCTCCCGGGCCAAGGACCCGCATTCCTCATGAGCGCTTTCAGTGGTTCCAGAGAACTGACGGACCTGCCGGGGTGGCTCGTGGTGGCAGCAGACCGCCGGTCCAGCGCCCTGTGGCTCACCAAGCCCCGGCTTCGGGACGCGGCGGTGTATTACTGCGCCCTGAGAGCCACGGGGAGAGGAGCCGGGGCTGCGGCCGTGCAGGAACCGTGGCGGGCGGGGCCGGGCGTGTGTGGCGGGGGCGAGGCAGGGGCACAGCCCCCAGGGGGCGCTGCCGCTCCGCCCGCCAGGACCACCTCGTCCCGCAGCCGCGGGGGTTCCCCCGCCAGCCCGGCCCCTCCAAGGCACTTCGGTTCTGCTGAAAGGGTCTGGAGCCTGGGTGCAGCTGAACGGAGATGGCAGCAGCCTGCCAGAGGTGTGTGCAGGGAAGAGGCACTGAAACACAGCCCCTTTCTCCTGAGCCCTCCTTTTCCTCACTCTGCAACAATGTTCCTCAGTTTCTCCCAAATTCATGCCCAAACAAGGACCGAATCAGGACAGTTTGCATCCTTGGTTTAATTCAGGGTAACAATGTTTGGAGTGCCTCAGCGTGGCTGTCCATCGATGACCTTGGGATGTATAGGAGAAGCAGACTGCTGTGAGGCTCCTGAGAGTGCCTGTCAGTCAGGGATTTCCGCCCCTGGACACTGCCAGGTTCTTCTGGGAGTCAGTGCTGGAGACAGGCCTATCTCCTCACAGTTGTCTATAAAGGCCGGCCAGCATTGTCTCAGAAATGCATCGCAGAGGGGACAGATTCCCATCCAGCCCATGTCTGGCTGTTTCTCCTGAAGGCAAAGGGGCAGCCTCACGTCTTATTTTAGAGCAAAGGTGTTTGCTCATGGTAGCATGTTTTTCAACCAAGCTAAGCTGCCTTGTGCAAACGTAGAAGCGTATCCCAACCACAGTTTTGTCCATTAGCCAATGACATGCACCCAGAACTTCACCCAAGCATTATATACTGCTAACAGTGTCCTGGGGCATTTAAGGTAGGCAATAAACAGCAGAGCAATTAAGAAACCAATGTCTCCAGGAACTACTAGTCATATTTTGGGTTGCAACATGGGCCAAGCCCTTCCAGGGCAATGGGCCATCCCAACAAAGCAGAAATGTTTGTTAGAGCTCTGCCTGGGTCTCTTTCCTGTGGTCTACCCCACACCTTAGCCCTGGCAGTGCCATACCTTCACCTGGGCTAAATTGGTTGCATTCTCTTGCAGCTGTGGCTGATTCCATTCCTCTGACACCAGGAAAGACAAAGGGTTTACCCCAGCACACCTTTGGCTCGTCTCTTGCTTGCATGGTTGATTCCTTCTGGATGTGACAAGGCTGTACGAAGCAGGGACATACATGTATCCATAAGGAAAGAGCTCTGTAATTAAGCAGGGAAAGACAGGGAGGAAGGACAGCTCCCTTCTGATGGGAGCTGTTACAGAGGTTACTAGGCTCTAATTAGATACTGGTGAGAAACATCATGGGGGTGAAAAGCACTGACAGGAAAAATATCTGCCAGCAGTCGAACAGGGCCTGGAAACAATGGGCATCCTTGAAGTGCAACTGGGCACCAGAGAGCTGCACACATCCTGAACATAGCCTCTACATAACCAAAAGAAGAAACAGAGAAACAGCTTGCCTGAGCAGGAGCAAAGGAAATGGTCAGGAAAAGTGGAAATGAGCATGAGGAAGTCCCTGTGAGTGCACGTCCTGCACCTGAGGAAAGCTGTTGCATGCTTGGGGGCAAGTGGGCACCCTAGAGCAGTGTGGGGGCATGCAAACTGTCTGCTGTCTCTGCACTGACCCACCCCATATGGGTTCAGGGTCCTCAGGGACTGGAGATTGCCATGTATGGTCCATTACGGCGAACACCAATGCTGACTTGTGGAAGGGGATCAGCCCTGCATGTGTGCCATCACCTGGGCACTGCCAAGTGCTCTGCTGGGGGCGGTTGGGCCTCATGGGACATGTGTTCCTGCCACACATGCCCATGTGTGCTGGCCATAGCCCTGAGGTAGGGCAAACGAGGGAAGATGAGGGTGGAGTAGAAGCAGTCGGGCATCCCTGCACTTATTCCACCCATTCCCCACATCTGCCATCCATCTTCTGTCCCCACCTGCTTCCCCAGCACAGCACTGTCCTGAGCAAGAAGAAGCCCGTTCCTAAGAGCCTACAGGGTGCCAAGCCTCCACAGCCTCCCACAGACTCGTAGCTTCTTCCGTGAGGACAGCAGAGGTTGTGCTCTCTGTTTGCAGGACAGGGGGGAGCTGTGGGCAGAGATGCTGCAAGGCAAGGGTAGATTGCCCCTTGCTCTGTGAAAGTGAGGAATGTCTTCTTCAGCCCCAAGGGGCATTGTCCAAGAGAGGACCCTCTGCAGCATGTCGCAACCTCCCATTGTTCTGGGAGTGGGGAAAAGGCTCCTTAAACGCCCATCTTATACCCACCAAGGGCAAGACAATTCTCGCTGGGCGGCTCAGGAGGGCATACGCAGAGGGAAGAAACATCTACAGCCAAGGCTGGGTTGCTGGAAACTTTAAAGAGTGTACAGAGGAAAAGGAGGTCACTCTGAGCAGAGGCCCTTCAGTGCAGGGATCACCAGGGCCAACCAAGAGGCAGCATCCTTTGCCCATGGAGGAGTTCATGCAGGGCATTAGTCTGCTGTTACCACAGTGGCAGGGCTGGATCTGATGATCCCCACAGCGCAAGGGAGGAGAACAGTACGAAAAGGGGGGCAAGGCGGTAGGTGGAGGAATGGAAGAAGAGACTTGGGCCATGTTTTCAGAGATCTCAGGCTAGCCCCTGGTCAGGCTCCTGCCAATGTTTGCCAGAGGAGGTGAGGAAGGTCAGTCATTTTGAAAGCAATGGCCTGAAGACTCCTCCTTCTTTTGTCCAGCACCATGGTCGTGCTGGAACCCCAGGGCCATGGGCAGTGGCTTTAGCAGGGCAGGCACCTTCTGCCACAGTAGCGGCTGGAAATGCCTGAGAGATCACAGCACCCGGAGGTGATGGGGACTCCGTCACAGCTGAGGATGCTGCCAACGGCAGCAGAGGTGGAGGATCCCACAAAGGTGTTCTGCGGGAAGGAGCTGAGGATGGGGCCGGGCAGGGTCACCACTACGGGAGAGGGCTCAATGACGACGGTGGAGTTCTGGCACTGCCTGACGCAGGGCTCGTTGCAGCTGCTGGCCAGCGGGGTCGGGCCACAGGGCCGGCATGGCAGGCACTGGTTGTAGCAGGACATGTCTTGGGCTGGAGATGCACCTGGGAGAGAGGGCAGAGAGGAAGCAGAGCATATGGTGAGGAGCAGCCCCATTATCCCACCACAAAGGAGCTAAGGCAACTGGTGAGGGTGGATGTGGAGGCTGTGCCAGGAGGTTCATGGTCTTCATCGCTTTGTACTGACAGGGCCCTTCAAAGCGCAGGCTGATCCAATGAGACAATCATGTTGCACATAACCCAAAAGTCTACCTCTGCACCATATCCCAGCCTCTCTCTACACAGAACGTCTCTCTCCACCCCTCTCCCATGGGAAGGAACTCCAAGGCCCAGCATCGCTCTGAACCTTCACCAGATGAGATGTCTATTAATGCAAGATCCCTTCTACTTGAGAAGAAGAGGAGAGAGGGCTTCAGACTCACCTGGTTACCAAGGAGGATGAGGCAACAGAATTGGATGAGAGAGCAGAGAGCTGGGCTGCCTTTTATACTGGTACTTCATTGCCACAGGCCCAGAGGCACCCTTGGCAGAGGTAACAATTTTCTGACAAGCTCATCTTGAATGCAAACCATCCCTACAAATGATATGGGCTGTGCACTGGTTTCCTGCACTGCTGCCTTTTCATTTGCAGATCTAGGCCATGGCCATTCTGCAGTGATGGTTTCTTTAGAGTGCTAGGATGAAATGTCCAAGGATTTCTAGGGCAGGAATGCATCAGTGGAGGGCAGAAGACTCACTGGATGTGCTGGATGGGTCCCCTCTGATCATCTTCATGGCTCTGCTCTGAACCCACTTGAACAGGGCTATATCTTTCTCGTGCTGGGGGCCCCAAAGCTGAACACAGCACTCCAGGTGATTTAAAGATCAAAGCCAAAATTTCTTTAAGTGGTATTATCACTCCAGGTGATTTAAAGATCAAAGCCAAAATTTCTTTAAGTGGTATTATTCTTCAGGGGACTGGGACGGTTAGTGGACGGAGCAGGAGTGCAAGTAGTTTTTTCGTCCGTCCCTACGTTGACAGGGAGGGGTACGGAGAGGACAACGAAAGCCCACCTGTTAAACACGTGGCTCCGGGGCTGGTGCCTACGCAGAAATCTTGGGTTTTTCGACCATGGGGCAGTTTACTCAGCACCTGGTCTGGTGGCCGTAGACGGGTCCCTATCCTTTAGGGGAAAAAGGATCCTGGGCCAGGAGCTGGCGGGGCTCATTGATAGGGCTTTAAACTAGGTAAGAAGGGGGATGGGGCTGGAGCGAGGACTGTTGGGGCTGTACCAGGGGGAGCAGTGGCAAGGCCGGAGGATAAGGTAAAGGCCCAGCTGAAGTGCATCTACACCAATGCACGCAGCATGGGTAACAAACAGGAGGAGCTGGAAGCCATCGTGCAGCGGGCAGGCTACGACTTGGTTGCCATCACGGAAACGTGGTGGGACCAGTCTCATGACTGGAGTGCTGCGATGCCTGGCTATAGGCTCTTCAGAAGGGACAGGCAGCATGGAAGGGGTGGCGGTGTGGCTCTCTATATTAGAGAGTCTTTCGATGTTGTAGAACTCGAGGCTAGGAATGACAAGATCGAGTCCCTTTGGGTTAGGATCGGCAGGGACAACAAGGCTAGTGTCCTGGTCGGGGTCTGCTATAGACCGCCGAACCAGGATGAGGAGACGGATGAGGAGTTCTACAGGCAGCTGACAGAAGTTGCGAAATCGTCAGCGCTTGTACTCGTGGGGGACTTCAACTTCCCAGACATATCCTGGAAGCACAACACAGCCCAGAGGAAGCAGTCTAGGAGGTTTCTGGAGAAAGTGGAAGATAGCTTCCTGACGCAGCTGATTAGTGAACCTACCAGGGGTGGTGCCCTGCTAGACCTTCTCTTCACAAACAGAGAAGGACTGGTGGAGGATGTGATTGTCGGGAACAGTCTTGGGCAGAGTGACCACGAAATGGTGGAGTTCTCTATTCTTGGCGGGGCCAGGAAGGGAACCAGTAAAACCACTGTATTGGACTTTCGGAGGGCTGACTTTAGGCTGCTCAGGACACTGGTTGGTGGAGTCCCATGGGAGGCGGTTCTGAAGGGCAGAGGGGTTCAGGAAGGCTGGGTGCTATTCAAGAGGCAAATCCTAATGGCACAGGAGCGGTCTATCCCCATGTGCCCAAAGATGAGCCAGCGGGGAAGAC